TACTCCATGATGGAAAAATGTATGCCAGAATTTAACAAAATTGAGGGTGCCTTTGTGATGACAAAATTTATCAAGACAGTTGAAAAAGTGTTCCTTCTGGACATGATTATTATCAGGTTTCTTAAAAAAGAGCCAGAGCATTTAACTTCATTTTTCCATACTAGCAGTAAGATAGCTCACAATCACCGTTCAAAATGAGCCAGACTGGTGGTATTTTTTACAAGAACAAGTCCAAACAGATGCCCAGAGGCTTCCAAGTGGTCAATTTCTTTATTTTCCTGCCCCCCTACTCTGCCTTCTGGACTGCTTCTGATACCCAATTAGAGTTTCTACTAGCAGCCTGCTAAATTGTGCATGTTTTTACCATTATGAAATGAATGGAACATTCAGAATTGACTGCAGATTACCAAGTGTGGCTGCATTCAACCCATCTACTTACTGTTTTGTACCGTGGTTGTGCTAGACATTATCCAAAGAAGTGATCCCTTTGCCCATGTCTTCTTATATAGAGAGTCAAAGACCTGTCTTTGAAACCAGATAGATTTCAAGGAAGGTGAAGTCTAGGCTTTGTACATACATGCAGTGTTGTAGGGTGGTAATAAGCCTTGACCTAGCAGATGTAAAAAGTATGGGAGGAGGAGAGTTTAGGGTCAAGGATTATCCCAAAGTTACCCGTACCAAAGGAAAAGGGGCACAAGGATGGCCTTGGCTACCCAAGTAACAAAAGCACACCTACAGAATCCAACTTAAACATCAATCTTGGCTGACTTTGATATGGTCATATTCGTAGTGAAAGTTTATGTATAAAGTGCCAAACATGACTCCACTAAGGTAGTCCTGTGACTGCACTAAGAGGAACTATTAAATAAAAGCGAGAGAAAAGCGCTACATAAACTGAAATTTCAGATTGGATGGCAAGATCACTGTCTGTTAACCTTTGCTCAGTGAGAAGTTTGTTTTATGCTTCCCTTTAGAATACACAGGTCTCTTTCAGCAGAGAACACAAGGAGAATATGCAGTTGCATTCTGAAATAACTGTCCTGCGAGAGACAGCTGAAAAAGTACAGGTAATGAAAATAGCTTTGCTTCCTGTATTCTTGAGCAGAAGTATAGGGAAAGAGTCCATAACTTGTCACAGGAGATTTTTTCAGTATACCTCCTGTCCTAGACCTGATGCTGATCAATATTGTCCATTCTCCCCACAAAACGTGCTAAATCTAATGCCTTGCTGTTGTCATCTGATGTCCCATATCTCCACTTCAGCTTTCTTGCCACCAGCTTAATGTCATTACTCAAACGTAAGTGCCCATCTTGTAGCTGCTTTGATGATTAAACTTGATTGTTAATGAAGTATTGGGGCTGTTAGTCTTAAGCTTGTTCACTTCTTAGTTAAGGGCTGAAACGGGAGGTGAACCCTCTGTTGTAAGATTTAAAAAAAAATTAAAACTGGATCTGTCCAACAAGAGATACTATTGCTCAGAAAAGCTGTGGGCTAATTTTGGGTAGTTCTGCGGCCTGTTGTATGATGAAGGCTACATAATCATAATAGAAGTTACAGCTTTACAGAGGATCCTTGATTGTTAATTGCTTCTCCATTATAAAAGATAGTATGTTTTCCTCACATACAACGTGCACCTCCCCCCACTAAAATCAGGCCCCTAAAAACCCAAGTGCAAGTATTAGGCAGGGAAGCTTATTTTCTGTCAGGGTTTCAGGCAGGGTTTCAGGCAGCTGAGATTTAAAGGCTTTTTTTTTCACTCTATAGGTGTTAACAATCATCTCCTTTTTCAGAGATCTTGATGTTTCACTAATCAAACTAACCTTTCTTAAGTTAATTTTGGTGTCTGGTAGCTGCTTGTGGTCTCTGTTTCACAGTCTGTCTAGCTGTTTTCAAAACATAGGTCCACACATGAAGACTGGTCTTCAGTAGCAGCTAGCGATTCAGCTTTAGTTATACAGGAAAGGGAAGGGGAGTCAGAGATTAGGCACTGTCTCTGCTCTATGCAGTCATAACTGGAAAATGTTTGCTTTTCAAAAAACAAGGTGCATATTATATTTGAGATAATTTTGTATGCAGTAAAATATGGTAGAATCATCAAGTGTTCTCCATTTCCATCCTACAGAAAAAGTGCACTTGAAGCAATGTGAATGGCTTACAGCATATGTATGGCTCCAGAAATCACAGAAGTAGTGAAGAGCTCTTTCAAAAGCAAAAATATTACATAGTGCTTTTTTGTAACAGAACTAAAAATAGTTATAGGAACACAGAGCTGGAAAAAGGACACTGATATATAGTCTAATCCATTTTGTAGAAGTCAGATCATGTATTCCTCGGTCTCTAATCTAGTCATTAAAAAATTCCAACAAAATCCACAAGTATCCGTAAATATTTCATTAGTCCGATGGTTAGAAAGCTTTTTTTAATGTCAAACTAAAATCATCTTGGTTACAAATTTAAAGTAAATGTCTTCTGATCTTTTCTGCAGTGGCCAGAGAGAACAAGCTTTCCCCACTTTTGGGGTACCACGTTATTGCCTTGTATTTTGTGAGCCACGTGCCCTGAGACATGCGGCAGGCTAGCCAGTTATTTACAGCTCGCATTCACACAATGATTTCTTTGTTCTTGAGTGTAACACTTGAATATCATTAAAATTTAAAAAGACAAACTATTTTCATCCCATCCATCCAGCTTGTCAAAATCATTTTGAATGCTGACTTTGTCCTTCAAAGTATTTGCAACTCCCACCCCCACAAGCACAGTATCAGCTACAGCTTTCATGAGCATCATCTCTGTTCTGCTCTCCAAGTCCTCAATGAAAAATTGAGCAGAACTGGAAGTGTCTCCCAGCTTGATAGCGAATATTAAGATATGTTTTTTTCCAGCCAGTTGTGTAGTCAGTCACATGATGGTAGTTACATATAGACCAGACTTCCTTAGCTTGTTTATAAGATTTATTTGACCTTACTAAAGGTCAAGATCTCTCACATCTGCTGCTTTCCTCTGCATGGAGTTTAATTTTGTTAGCAGGCTCAGTTGACTTGAGTGCATTTGTCTTACTTAATTACTTCTAACCTGTGCTCCCCTATCTTGGCCTGCATTTCTATCTTCTTGTTAAAAATAATTTAATATAGGTGATCACAGTTATCTTTTTTGGTTAAGATTCAGCCTTGAAATAACGTATGTTCTTTTTTCCCTTCCCTTTCCTAGGCCCTTAATGATCAGTTAAACCAGCAGTGTTCAGAGCTGAGTGCTACGCTCCGAAGTGTTTCCATGGAGAATGTTAAACTTGTTTCAGATCATCAAGCCATGCTTAAGGTATACTGTTCTATTTTAAGCTATAAAAATAGCTAGTGTGAATCACATTCACAGAACAAGAAACTGGGTCAGGAAGTATAGGGTGAAGAGAAGACAGTAACAATAAGCTAGTACTCTGTAGGAGTTGGAAAAAAATATTTTATAAATAATGAGTTCTAGTCACTTGTCTGAACTGGTTTTTAACACTCAGTAAGGAACCCTGATGAAGCGTAAGCCTTATAAAATCCACCCCCCATCCTATTTAATAACCAGCAGTCTCAAAAAATTAACATTCAATTAAGGTTGTATAATATACAGGAATGTGAGTTCTGCCTGCTCAGTCTACATAGTACTGAAAAAGTTCTAGCAGGTGTTGGTGCTTTACATCTTCTCTTAGCATAGTTACTTGCTCTCAGTGGAGTTGGCATGCTTCAGCACTACCACAGGTTATACTGGATAACACTAACAATAGCCTTCTGTCAAAGAAAGTAGGAGCTTCCTTTTGAGAATAGCCTCTCAAATCTAACACCTCCCATAGTGCACACAATTTCCTGGTCCATTGCCTACCTCAGTCCTCTCACACTCATAGATTCTGTCCCTTTTCTCCAGTTCCTTCTCTTCAGTTTGTAATTCAGAGTTCTTCCAAACTCTATAGATCTTCTGTGGAGCTTTTCACTTAGAGATGTTCCTATTCCCTTAGTCTGGAAGCTCCTACTTCTTCCATTGCCAAGCTAAGACTGACTCTTTTCTTCAGCTTCCCCAACCTTTATCGTTCCAGAAAAGGATGAGCTGGAATTAGCACAGTCACACAGACTTAAAGGGCCCTTTACCAGGGCTGCAATGGTGTTTCCTCGTGAACCTTTTAAATGGGGTTCCCCGGTACTGTTAGGGCATGGTGTTTAATTTGTTAAATCCAGACTCTAATCAGCTTGTTCATTTCTCTAAGAGGTTTCCCCTTTTGAAATTTATTCTTAAACACTGTCTCCCCATACAGTTCCTGAAGCTTGAAAATTACTTTTTCTTCAGTGAAGAATTATGCTGTCCTCGCTCTGGCATCTATAACTATTTCTTTGTTAGTCAGTTTAGGTCACTAAAGTGGTGCATACATCTTAACTACGTGCTAACTCATGAGACTTTATTTCTTTCTCGAAAATAAAGGCTTCACTGTCATCGTTTGATAGGTCTCATGTATATGCATTTAAGGGAGATACGTCAATTTTTTTTTTAATTGACTATTAAAAGGTTCCTCTTTTGGGCTCTCTTTAAATAACATTTCTGTAGCTTTGTAAAAGATACTTACAATATTTATAAGGATATGTCTACTCTCTCTTGATTTGTATATAAGGGTTTTTGGGCAGACAAAGGAACAGCACCAAACATTGTCACTCTGTATTTTTATCAACAGCTGGGAAGAAAACCCTAAGATAATTTCTGGTATTGCACAGCTGACAAAAACTGCAATTGTGGCAAATATATTGCTTGGTATGCTGCGTGCAAGCACATAATATACATTTCAGTATGGCCCAATGTGTAAAGTCATATACCGAAGAAAACAATGTAAATTCTACACCCTGGATAGATGACTGTCCTGAGAAACAATGATTCTTCTGAAAAACTGGGGGATAATCAACTGAATGCAAGTTTCCAGTGCAGCACTATGATTAAAAGAGTTAATGTAATCCTTAGATACCATGGGCAACAGTTAAGTGCATATCTTTAGGCCTGAAAAAGGTTATGTACATACTCTCATGTCAACAATAAATATTAAGTACACAGTACTCAGTAGTGTAGTAGTAGTAGTAGCATCCAAGCTACTGCCTTTATTATCTAATCTTCTAATAGGAGCCCCCCTTCTAACAGAGCTCACTGTTAAAAGCCGTGAAAATGGGAAGAGCTACCCAGTTTTAGGGCTGCTAATACCGTAGCAGCCTCAGTCTGAGACATGGGAAACAGCTAATCTAATCTCGCTAGAAAAGGTATAATAAGATTCAGTGAGTATAGGTTGAAACTAGACAAATTAAAATGGAAAATTAAGATGGGGGGCAGGGGTTAACTGTGATGGTAATTCCTGAAAATTTTTAAGACTTAAGGTTGAATATCTTTCCAAAAGATATGCTTTTAGTGACTACTGAATTTGAAGCAGACATTAATACCAAGATGCCTGCATTATGCAAGAGGTGATACTAGATGAGAACAGTGGTCCTGTCTAGTTTAAAAAAAGACCTATGAAAATACAACTGGGTCCACTACTTTATCTTTTCCCTTTCTCTTTGTACACATCTGCCTGTTGCCATTTTATTTTCACCTTTGCTATTGCTACTTCTATAAAAAATTCTTTCTTTCAGGACCTAGGGAAAAGCTCCCTTAAGCAACACATCAGAAATGTTCTTGTGTTAGTGCAGGAGACAGGAAGTGCAATTGTTCTCCAATAAAACCATTAAACTGACTATTCACAAAGCACCCCCAAATGCACAAAAGCAACAAGCTGAGGTATTTGTTAAGAAGAAAGGTGATTATGGGCAATTATCTAAATGACTCCACTAGCACCACACAGGAGGCTAACATGTAGATGTAACTCAATGTCCACTTTGCCTGAGTTATGCAGATATTTATTTTTTGAAGCAAGGGGGAGAAGCATTATAAAAAGCAACAACATCTAACTATTATAATAAAATTCTGGGGGAGCAGCCAGTGCTAGCCCTAAAAGAGTGGGGACTAAAGAGAAGACTGAAGATGAAGAATGACTGAGTGGAAATCCTTGAAGACCTGACCTGTATCAAAGAGATACTGAAATCCCTGCCTAGGAAAGGCAAGTGCTGTTTAGATATTTTCTCTAAGGGAAAGGCCATGTTCAGTTCTAAAAAGATGGAACAAATCTTGTAAACACTGGGATAAGCAAACTTTATTTAAATAGCAGCTTTGTACCCTCTGTCAGTCTGGCTTTGTTCTCATTTCTTGCACAATCCCCAGGCTTCCACACCAGTGTTTCCTTTCCCTCTTCAGGCAGAACAGGAGAAAATGACTCAAAAACTGCAAGAACAGGACTTGCTGCTGGATGCTGCTCGTGCCAACATTATGGAGGAGTTGCAAAATGTGCAGAAGGAAAAAGCTCAACTTCAGAGACAGCTGTGAGTGAAGACACTTCTGATCAGTAGTCGCTGTCCTGTTCTTTTCTCATTCAGTAGTGCCCTTTGTATCCTGTTTCTTGAATCTCCCCAAGCCTCCTCCAAGCATTCTCTATTTCCTATTGGCTGGAACTGATTTGGGACTTAAGAACACAGTCAAGCTAATCTTGATGGAGAAGTCTTATGTTAATATGAAGTCTATCTTCTATTCATAATGGTCTAAGCATGCAAGGGACAAAATTCTAATTCAGGGGTGTCCAACCTTTTTGACTGTGGGGCCGGATCACAAACTTTTTATCACCCAGTGGGCCGGCAAGCCATATTCAAAGACCTCACAGGAAATGGTATCACATCAGGAAGTGATGTCACATGACCTTTGACACAAATGAAGTTGCAGGAAGTGACAATGAAATGGGTCTAGAAATGTGCCTAGGGAAGTTGTGGTTTTCAGAAAGTATGTATGTTTGCTATGGCTTAGGAACAGGACATCATTTTTCTGTGCAGGGGGTTGGACTAGATTAGCAGCAGACTGCCTGCAGGTCACATGTGGCCCACAAAAGGCCAGGATGTTGCCCACAGTCTACATGGGGTCTGCAAGCAGTTAATATATAGGGCATGGGTCTGGGCAGCCACCTCTCCCACTGCTGTGCAAGGGGGAAAGGCCTGTGGGGCAGGGAGGAGTGGTCTATGTCCTGCAAATGTAGACTGCGTGGCTGAGGATGGGGGTCTGCATGCTGCTGGAGCAGCCCATGCAGTGAGGGGGTCCTAGGGGCCCACCCCCACAGCATGCAGCCTGTGCAACACATGCTGGTGTCATCTGGGGCCCACAGCCTCACCAGATCTGAACAGCCCTGGACTAGCTTATCCTTGAGATCCTTTACTAACTTGATCATGGTCATTATGGTTAATTAAATAGAAATTGTAGGCATATACTGCAGAGACGTGGAAGAGATCTCAAGGATAAGCTAGTCCAGAGCAGTTCAGATCAGGTGAGGCTCTGGGCCCCAGATGACACCAGCATGTGTTGCACAGGCTGCACGCTGTGAGGGTGGCCCCCTAGGACCCCATCACTGCACGTGCTGCTCCAGCAGCATGCAGACCCCCATCCTCAGCCATGCAGGCTACATTAGCAAAACCTGAACTGCCAAGGAGGCGGCTGGACGTAGAGCGCCTCTGGGCCAGGCTCCTCCTACCTCCCACCCAGCTTAGCTCTGGCAACCACGTGCCCTGCAGCCCCAGCCCAGCCCTGAGGTGCCCCCAGCTCCATGCCTTACCCTGTGCCTCCGTCCACCACACATGCGGGCAGGGCGTGGGCCATGCTGCAGCTCCCCCGGCCACGCACCGGGGGCCGGGGCGGAGCCAGAGAAGAAGCTGCACGCACTGTCTCCAGCTAGTCTAATCAGGCACAGCTGGGGCAGCCCCATGCCACACAGCCCTCGGGGCAGTGGTGGCAAGACCTGGCTCACTGATGAGCCCGGCCCTGCAGGGGTAAGCAGCTCCCCTCCCCTCTCTGCCAGCTGGGGCCCGTGGGCCAGCCCTTCCTGCCTCGCCTTGCTGCTGTGGCTCTGTGCTCGGCAGTGGCAGTGCCGCCGCGGGCCAGATAAAATGGCTTGGCGGGCCGCATGTTGGACGAGCCTGCTCTAATTCATTTATTTCACATCTTGTTTGTACAGGGAGACCCTGCGCTCTGAGCATGCCACCTGCAAACAGAAAGCAAGCATAGCCGAGCAGACAGCAACCACACAAAAAGAACTGCTAGAATCTACTATTACTAGACTACGAGGTGAACTGGAAACAGCACTGAGAGAGAGAGCATCTCTCCTGATGGAAAAGGAAGGCCATCAGCAGGAAGTACAGTGGATATATTGTTGGTTTTTCATTTTAAAGATGTATCACAAGATACACCTTTTGGCATTCCTGTACTGTATGGTCTTCTACCATTGTGACATTTCAGTGTCCTTGAATATATCACCAGTGCTGGTCTACATCATGTATACAATAAGAACACAGACAGTAACTTAGTGCAAGATAGTAACTTAATATGTTGGGGGAAAAAATTGAGGAAAGTGCTTCTTGCTTGCCTGGTGATTAAGAGAAAGAGGATAGCTGAGCTATATGGTCTTCTAATTTTAATTTTTTCAGAGTTGGTCTGTAACCTTTCTCTCTGAGATGCTGTGCTACATTTCTCTAATGGGAATACAAAATGTCTTTAGGTTGAGTACACTAGAGAGGTTTTTTGACTGATTTAAAAATGATCTTTTAATTCCATCTGGCAGATAGAAAAAACAGCAAGTGAAGTAATACAGGAGAGGAACCAGCTGGAAATTGAACTAACTGAGAACAAGGTACCATGCAGTATACATAGTATCTCTGACTTCTGATTCTGTCCCTTCTGTTGTATGGGCAGTATAAACAGTTTTGTCTTCCCTGAGTCTGTAATGAAGGTCTCCTGCTAGTTCTAATGTCAGCAACACATTGAAAATTGCAAGAGGGACCTGAACCATGAGTGGTTTGCACATGGGCAGGCATTAAATGATAGCAGCAGGAATGACTGGTGCCTCCTGAGACTGGGAGGCACCATGACAGTGAGCGGGGACCACCTGCAGACACTAGCAGCCACGTTGATGGTGGGGGCAGGTGGCAAGCAGGGACTGTCCGCAGCCAGCGGTGTCCGTGGCAGTGAGCAGGAATTGCCCACGGCAGTGAGCAGCGACTGCCTGTAGACACTGGTGGCCACGTCCACGTAGGACCCAGCACTTTGCAGGGTAGCTTTCCCCACCAAGGAACCTCCAGAAAGGAACCAGCCAAGTACTTCAGCCAGTACGAGCAACTGCAGAAGCAGCAAAAGCAGGGAGTATTACTTTGTGGAAAGAAGTAGATAAAAATGGAACCCAGCTGGACTGCCCTTACTGCCAGCCTCCCCTTGGATGTAGTGAAGACACCCCAAATCAGAACACAGATGTTGCCTCTTGGTATATCTGCACCCCTCTGTCTTGTGGCTTTGGAGGAAAACCTGAAGCAAGAAACCAACCAAAAACTCTACATCCAGTCAAATAAGAGCGGCTACAGGAGCAGCTAAAACCAGGAGCTTCAGACATTCAGAAGACTTTCAGCAGTTTTGTTTGGACTTTCCTTGTCCTGTGCTGGCTGGCTGTTCATTCCAACCCTTTCCCTCTTCCACAATCTCTTTACCTAACACTCATTCCATACTTCCCATCTTCCTCATACCCAGTCCCCTTCCAGTTTCCATTTAACTTATTTCTTCTAAGTAAGTTTACTCCAAAACCAAAACATTAATGGAACTACTATGACATTTGGCACCATCACACTGTTCACTCTGTAGGTTTTATAGTTTTCCTAGACTGGGTCTGTCTTCTCTATTTAGATTGTAAAGTGTTTCGGGCAGGGACCACTTATTACTATTTGTACAAATCTTCACACATGCCAATGTTCTCAATTGGTCAAGAACACAAGGGCCAACATTCTTGGTTGGGCCTTACCTGATACCATAAACATAAATTTTAGTCACTGCTGATTGTTGAGCTCAAGCATCTTAGCTATGTAGCTCTTTCAAATCTGCATAGCTTGGATAAATGAAAGGCTGGGAAGACTAAATTGCAACTGCTGAAAGGATGGTAAAAGCAAGCAACTCTGGGTGTAGTGGGGAGAGGCTGTGTATAATCTGTAGCTTTGTGATTGAAGTTTGGTCCACAGATCATGTTGTGTCCAAGCAGAAACCTTAAAGCAGCATGATTGAAGTTGTATTTTCCCTTGTTTTGTAGTTGGAAATGGGTGCTATGAGATCCACACTGCAGACATTAGAGGAAGAAAACATGAGGTTAATGGGCCGTTTAGCTGCACTGGAACACCAGCAGGTAAACTGCTTTTCCTGTCAGCCGACTACTATCACCCTTAGGTATATGTGGGGACATACTTAAATTGTGGTTTTGTGATTTTTGCAGAAACTGAAAAATGGCAATCTCCACAAAAAATGGCATGATTTCCCATGGAATTGACCCCAAAGAATGCTTACTAGAATACAAAGATTTAGATTTAAATGCAGTACTTAGATTTATGATATTTCCATGGAATTTGCTATTTAATTATGCGGTTTTTGTCTCTTGGTCAGTTTGCTGCAAGAGACAGGGCCACCAGGGCCCCTCTGCTAATTGGCAGCGAGGAGTGGAGCTGCCACAAAATACCCATGAAATCAACTTTATGCACTGCAAAAACCCTTTGTCTTGCCACAATTTGAGTAGGTCACTAAGTATAAGATAGGGTAACTCCTGTTGTCTTGACTAGCATGTAAATATACCAGTGATTAAGCTGTTCTCTGACCACCTTATGTTTTTCTAATTTGGAAATCACTGAAATGTAAGAGATGCAAGATGTAAGAAACTGAGAGACCAAGAAAGGAAAGACATGACACTATTCTTTTATACGTTTCCCTTTGAATTTGTTCAAGTGAGAAGGTTTAACATCCATGTGGGATTTAGAATCAAGTAAAATGACCTCACAGCCTGAAGGTATCAAGATGTGACATGATTATTCTGTGATGCTATTTTTAGTATGGATGGGACTTTTGCCTATATACACTATAAAATGGAAGTGTGTTTAATATTTTTGTCCATAGCTTCCCTGAGCTGTTTGCACTTTGAGACTTAATCCCTGTTATTTTTTTTCAGTTATCTCCTATTATTGCTATAGCACTGCTCATCCAAACAGTGTTAGTAATGGTAGGACTATTACTTTAGACTAGCTGAAGTGTTTTTACCAGTGAGCTGTCTAAGTTCACTGAGTAGGCCCAGTAAATACCAGTCAGAAACTTAAAACCAGAGCATCTCAGTTATTCTTTTCACTTCTTCATTTCTCTCCACCTGCTTTCATTTCTAAACCATTTTTCCCCTGCTGTCTCAGTTCTCTTAGTGTCCTGCAAATTCCTTTTGCACCTCCCTTCTTTCTTGCCAGAGCATCTGTCCATCCACTTTTTTGCTGCCTAAGAGCCATGGTATGTTCTGTAATCCTGGGGCCAGCTGTATAGCTAAGTCTGTTCCTGCTTTTACCTATAAGTTAGGGTGGCTTAGACCCAGGGAGATGTGAATATATCTTTCTTGCATCACTTGGATGACCTTTACTGTTTGTTTCATATGAAAAATTTGAACAACTTAGGAAAGCAAGAACATTACAGTAATTCATCGAGAGAGAGAAAAGAATAGAAATCAGGTAGAAGCAAAACACTGAAGCCCAGGTTCCTTTTTTGGCTTGTTTTTCTCAGGAGATGGTGACCTATGCTCTTCTTTTCCCAGCATGCCCAGCAGCAGGTAGAACAGATTCTAGCAGAACTGACTGATAGTAAGAATAAACTTGCCTACGACAAAGGAAAGCTTCAGGTATCTCACTACCTTTAAATTTGGTGTGTTCACAGAAGAAGCACATCTTTCTGGATTGTTTAATCAAAGCTTTTCACTATTTCATTTGGAACAAAGTTTTTGTTTTTTATTTTGCACTGTTAGCAAGAAACTTTAAATAGTTTTGTATTTAAAACTGCCTTTGATTTCAGTCATAACGTTTTTTGCTGATAGGTAAAACTAAGTGGACATTCTTCATATAATGCCTATGTAGATTCCTGGTAAATAAGTCACTGGATATATGAAAACAACTGTAGAAGCCTGAAAATATGATGTTTTAGCTATGCAGTTTATTCTAAAGGATACAATAGAAAGGGAATAGACACAGTGGCTGTGTCCAGATGAGCACAGGTGTTTGTTTCCCTGGGGGTAAGTAGCAGCGATACACACCTTGTGTGCTGCTGCTACTTGTGCCCAGGGAGCACGTGTGCCACACATGCTCTGCCACACAGCAGGTTACCCTGCATGGGGTAGGGGAGGCTGGAGCCAGCAACTGGGGGGGGGGGGGGGTCAAAAGCCCCCCAGTCCCCTCCTGAAAGGTAGCAGCATGGAGGACACTTACATGTAAGGGGGACACTTACATGTGTGGTGCCGTAGACTTGTCTATGGCACCACACACCTCATATCCTCGCTTGTCTAGATGCGGCCAATGGTGGTAAGCATAGATAGAAAACAAAGTAAACAGGCAATAGAAATGGTGGTGAAATTGAGATTCGGTGAGTTGTCATGGATGTGATAAAATTTGAGAAACCAGTGCAAGGATTTTTGGTGTGCTTGTAGGGAAAAAAAAAAATCAGAGGGGAGCAAGTGGAGAGAATGGTGGTTGTTTAAAAATAATGAAAAAGTAGCAATTTGGTTTAGAGTCCCTTACAAGTGGAGATAATCACAAGCGACTAACCAAAATACTGTATTGAGCTTTGAATTAAAATGAATTCTGGTGTTTCAGTTTTGCTTGTGTGCGAAGATAAAATGAGGGTACTCTTGTCATTTCTGGTGGGGTGGGACTGCTTAATGCAAATTTTTTTAGCTTTCATAAAATCCATCTCTGTTTCTGTGGCCTTCATAAGCCCATTCTCTATCTTCACATACTAAAAAGATGCAGGAAAATGTTTGCCAACTATGTCTGCTTTTCCTGTAGACCAAAGTCCAGGAGCTGGAAGAAGAGTTGCAGTCTCTTGTAGATGCACACTCGGAGAATAGCCAGCTTCGCAAGCTGAATACAGCATTGGAGACCAAATATACTCAGGTACAAAATTCAGATCACGCCTCACATCTCAACCCCAAGTCAAAGTATACCTAGAGAAATCAAACTCATTACTTCCCCCAGGAACATCAAAGCACCAGTTAATTTTAGTATTAAACTTCTATTATAATTTTCAGGTGAACGCAGAACTTAGTTCTGTCAGGATTAACATGCAAAGGATTGAAGCTCAGCTGAAGCAGGTACCAAACCAAAAAAAAAACTGTTTCCTGAAGCGTAAATGTGTGTGTTCAAGCTGGATCAGGCCACATCTGTGGGGTTGCAGGATTTTCATGTTTAGCTCTCACTGTGGCGTGTTTACCCCACAGTGGTTCCAGGGACCTAGAAAACTTCAAAAAACCTGCCCCAATAAAACTGTGTTCAAAGAAAGAGTTCAAATAAATGTTAATAGCAATTCCAATATTGGAATACAGATAACAGATAAATGCTAAGACCATAAAAATAAAGCATATCAACTGCTGCTTAAAAATAATGCAGTACTAAAAAATCTAAAATAATAAAAGAAGCATTAATACAGTGTGAAAAAAATCAAATCTTAATGTTATGTAGTCTTACTCTAACAGGTGTCCAACTTGCCAAGGAAAATAATCTCCAGAATCTAGGTAAGAAGTTACGTTCCAAAAGACAAGCAAACTGATCTTAGTTCAGCTGATGAACTGGCTGATGGACAGTTCAGCAAGAATTAGAGTGAAAAGTGGCTGGCTGAAAAGTGAGTTTAGGAGGTGGATCTGGGCTTTTTCCCCCCAGTTTTAGCCAAGCCTAAGAAGTTTACTAACTAGAGATCTCTTAAGTGGATGTTTTACCATATTAGAAAGAATAATTTTATATTCATTGTTACTGGGGGTGCACCAATAAAGATTTTTGGGCCAATACCAATCCAATTGCTGATATGCAAGAGTGGCAGCTTGGAGAGTAGCACCTGGCTGGTAAGTCTGTTGCAGAGTGGAAGGGAAGGTGCGTGGTGGGGCACAAATTGAGGCCCCCGTGGTGAGGGAGGGAGTGGGACTAGGGCAAGGGTAGGAGCTGCCAAGCTGGGGTGGGGTGGGGTGGGGTACAGGATGAAGCTGTGAGAAGCTCGTCTGGGGGAAAAGCCTGGCTCTGGCCCCAGCCCGCAGCAGCAGCCTGCCCTCACCCTGCATGAAGATCTGGGGAGCACATGCCCCCCATGCCTCCCCTGGGGGTGCACGTAGTGGGGGGAGCTACCGCCCCCACCCCACAGAACAGCTGCATATGGCTCCATCCTGTGCCCTGCTTTGCCCTGACTGGGCAACACCTGGCCCAGCCCCACTCCTTCACCACGGCGACCTCAATCTGCTCCCCTCCCTCCATGCTCCTTCTTCCCAACAGACTTACCGGCTAGATGCAGCTCTCCAAGTTGCCAGGCTGCATTCCTGGCCCTGTGCATACACACAGCATTTATTGGCAATGTTATCAGGCACATCAGACAAAAAAAGCCAATTGCCAATAATGTCAGTTTTCCTTTTATCAGTGCCGATACAATACAAACCAATGTATCGGTGCACCTCTGATTATTATCAGTTATATCTTATTTGTTATCCAAGAAATAGACCTATTTTAGTCAGCACTGTAAGAGATTAAGGCATTCAGGTACTATGGTGTCCACAGTTCAGATCCCCACTCTGAGTACCTTCAAACTTTGGGAAAATAATTTACACCTTAACATTAATATTCCCATTTTACAAATAGGAGGAAATGGCCATGAGAACTTTCATGGTCAAGTCATGGCAAGAGTCATAAAACAGAACCATTAGACTGCTGCCCCACAAAATACCACAAGAAGTTCTAGATAGCAAATAACTTTGCTGCTACCTTCTGTGTATCGAGGTCACAATGTGGTTGAATTAGAATAATAAGAGCAGTGACATCATGCATAGTTCCAATACCATCCTGGTGATGTTGCACTGGTAGCAAGGCTGTGATGAAAAAACAGTGATTTGGCTTCCCCGGATAAAGTGCTGCAGGAATGCATCAGGAAAGAAAATGTATAAAAATAGTAAATGGTTCTTCAAGAACGCTTATATAGGATACTCCTTACAGCACAAGATCTTCCAATAAATAATTCAGGCCAGAACAAGTAGTATCCATGAATGTGGCCTTTGCTGCTGATCTAACGGGTAGATATTTTGAGGGGTGTTTTTGTTAATTTCTCCCTCTCTGTCCTCCTTGGATGGATTAATTTTGTAGCAGAAATGCCACCAAAGAGAAGAAAATCCCCTGCAAGGCCTTCACAGTATGTTAAGCCAGATATGTGCTGTTTTGGAGAGGGAGCTGTGGAATTTGGTGGGCATGCTTCCACTCTTCATCCTCCTTCACGCCGGGTTCATTTCATCCCGCGTGTACATTCAAGGAAGTGTGCTTCTGAATGTGGAGACTGTCCAAGAATCAATCTGAGAACTCTGTTAAAAGCTATTAAGAGCATGGAGGAAAGATTGGAGGGTAAAATAGACATAATCACTCCAAGACTATTAAAGACTGACTGGTCTGTGCAACTTAGTGAAGATGACTTTCAGATGGTGAGTAAAGACCACGAAACAACCTAGAAGCTGGAAAAATTGGCAGTTTTGGGAGCGTGAATAGATTTAGCTAAAATGAGGCCAGACTGGAAAATTCTATGAACAAAAGGCTTTTTTCAGTGTTTCTTGTGCAGAAAAAGGAATGGTCAATCAAACTGGTTAAGTAAGAGAAAAATATCAAGATTTTTTGGGGGATTCTAGACTTGGCTTTATCTAGTTGTCCTACTTTCTGGACCATTATTGCTAAAGGTCAGACCACCTTCTGACTAGTGCCGTATGCTTCATACTTTGTTAATTTTTCTTCATTTGGAGGCAAAAATGGGAACTTAAACTTGAATTTAAAATGGGAAAAAGACAAAGGATTGCTTCATTTGAGGAAACTACCTCGGTGCTAGATCCTCTCATAGGAAACCAACTCAGAGGCTTAAGCTTGACTTACTAGTTTCAAAGGCATGAAACAGAAAAAAAAAAATCTTGCTCTGGGTGGCACAGAGTAAATCTTCCTTGATTTTGCTTAAGCAAAAGAATTTTAAATTGTATATATATATATATAT